TAATCTGCAGTTACGCTTGTGAATATTTAACGGGTCTCCGATGTTGGAGGCTGCGTGCTTATTGCGGACGCCTACCTGCCGACCCGCCGAGCACATGGGGCAGGGCTGCAACGGCCGTCCCACGCAGACCCGCACGCAGACCCGCACGCAGACCCGCACGCAGACCCGCACGCAGACCCGCACGCAGGTCGGCCAGGCTGTGGTCAGCTACAATTTAAGTCGGCTCGCCGTTCGGGACACCCCAATCCCGTCTTCCTCCTCCTACAGTATGCAGATAAGATCTAATTGTTCCCCGTTTATCAGGGAGAGGCGAGCGGCCCCTTCGCTCCCGGAGAGACTGCAAAAATGACGATTAAAGGGGACTCGAGTCACTGTGTGAAATGAACGAGAACCGAAACCCCACCTGGTGCACTGCACTCAAATTTGTTTACACAGACTGCTGAGCGCACCCACAACGCGCCGGTTAATTGTGTTTGCGGAGGGGGTCAGACGGGAATCCCCCAGAGGAAGGGGCTACTTTCTACCCCCAGTTCAGGCTGAAATTTCTCCACGGCTCCTGTAACGGAGTTAAAAATACGATCCATTATGAGCACAATCATTCCAGGCCCCATTTCTGACATGTGCAAGGACATTTGTGACCCACCAAAATAACATGTGTTCAAACTGCTGTAAGGGTTTATTTTTGGAGAAGGAAAAGATCAGCTCAGCACCATTCAGCCTTACAGACCCAGCTTATCACCCTCTAAGGCCCGGTTCCGGGTCAAAGAGGCCTTTACACATATAATTACTTTTAAATAACAAACGTTATTTAATTATGCACAGCTAACACCCAAACTGACCAGATTTCTTAATGCTGGGCAGAGGAAACTCCAGAAAACTAATTGCTACATTAAAAAAGAATAAATGCTTAAATATACATTAAGTGATTAAAATGCCAGATACAATCCAAATGTACCAAGTGAATCAAGACACTCAAACCTCGAATAGTAATTATATCCCTGCCCTGTGATATATAGGGATGCGAAGTAAAAATGTGTGAAAAGAAAAACCTTATTAATGACCAATAAATAATAATAATAATAATAATAATAATAATAATAATAAAAAACAAATAGTAGCAGCAGATTAATTTGTAAGTCAAGCAAGAGCTTTGGAACATACAAGTGAAAATTTAAAACAAATTGGAATAATGATAAAAAGTTCTAAGAATCTAAATGTTCAGCTTATCACTTTACAGAAAAAGACAGAACTGAGCACAGTAAATTTTGACGTTTTAAACATTTTCATGTAGCTCAGTTACGAAGTGTTCCAGAAATGCAGCAGACTGACTTAGCGCTGCATTGGCAGCATTCAGCTACGGTGCGGAACACAGCCGTTCTCGCGGTCGACGGACTCCTCGCTGAAGTCTCTGGCCGGAGGGGGCCGCTCGGTGTTTGATCGGCCTGCTTCAGGTTAGCAGGAGGCCTACTCACTCGCCTGCAGACGCCCTCCCCAGACCCGGCGCGGGCTGGCAGCTTTAGCGAAAGCTAGGTGCTTCATGAGCAGTGTTAGCGCTGTCCGGCCCATAACTCGCAAGATCATTTTATGCTTTTCAGGACTTTCGGCGCCCGTATTCGGCTGCTTAACGGATCATTCCCTGCTAGCGCAGCACGCTTTTAGAAACGTTTATGTCTTACTAGGGCTCTAAAAACACCAGCCGGCCAAGAGACAGCGCCCGTGACACGGACTGCAGTAGGGGTTGGTTCTGGTCACCCAGAACAGCATCGGGGGAAGGGAGTACAATAACAGTTCAACAGCTGGGCGAGTCCAGTGGACCACAGGCAGTGAGTCTCACAAGGACAGAATTTCAATAGGCCCAGGAACCCAACGACGATCCAAACACATAAGAGGATAAGTCATGCAGCGGAACCTGCTAGCAGGCACCAGGATGCCACAGCCACTGATGGGGATTCAGGTTCTAACGCTTCTCACTGAAGTTAGTGAGAACCGGTAGAACGCAGCGTGGAAACAGCCATTAAGGACATCACAATGTTCGGTATATAGCATTTATGCTCTTATCTAAATACGCGTGACATTAACATCACTCTGTGTACAGACACCTTCAGCTTCCAGCTTGCACCCACAGCTCAGTGTTCCGAGCTCGCAGGGTCATTACGAGTTTATTGCGGGAAAAACTCGAGCTGATCTCCCTTTTTGCTATTGAAAGTGAGACATTTGCAGGCCCAAGTCTGATATTTGTAAACAAACACATTTCTGCAATAAGTGACGGATTTTGGATGGATATCGTCCTTGCACGACTGAACCTGCAAAAGCCCCAAACAGTGTACGAAAACGACTTCCTATCTGAAAATGTTTTGGAAAAAGGGAAAACATGAAAACCACCCCAACCATCAACTGGAAGACCCTGAAGGAAAGAAGGAATCCAAAGGCCTATACGTTTGTAAAATAGCAAAATAGTCATTTTCGCATTTCTGCGAAAACTAATTTAATTCTGCTTGATACACCTGAATTTGCAACAAGTATTTTTTATGACGAGAAAATTAATACGGACGCTCCTCGGGTTATGATGGCCTGTGTTACGATATTTTGACTTTACAATGGCTAAATGTTTTCCCGCGTTCAGGAGATTATTCAGTAAATTGTATGAGATATTCAACACTTTATTATAAAGTGATTTTGCCCAACTGTAGGCTAATGTAAGTCTTCTAAGCATGTTTCTAAGGCAGGCTCGGCTATGATGTTTGTTAGGTTAGGTTTACTGTATTAGAATGCATTTTCGCCTTATGATATTTTTGCCTTACGACAGGTTTTTTCGGAACGTAACCCCATCGTAACCCGGGGAGTGTTTGTACATTATGGCCTTCACTAGTCAGACGTTTTCATCAGCGTGTAAACTAAAAAAATCAATTTTTAATGACCACATTAAATGATTAAAACTACTTCAAATCTCACCCCAGCGATTTACCTTTTTGTCATCCAGGCTTCCGTCCGGATTGAGCCGGAAACTCCCCACGTGGATGGTCTTCTTCGGGTCGACTCGGCTGATGGAGTAGTTCAGTTCATCAGCAAGTGCCCTGCAGGCTGCATCAACAAAGTGACTTCAAGGTGAGACACCAAGATCCGCAATAAAAAATATAATTATCCACACGAGGATTAAAACCACAGAGAGGTTCTTCGTGCAAAGGAATAAAAATCTATTTAAAACAGGTGAACATTATAATTAAAAATGATTTAGTTTATTACGTTTCATTAATCCTAAGTTTGAAAGGCACTCAAAAAAAAAAAAAAAAAAAAAATACATATATCACATTTATACCGTTTTAATGGACACTCACGTCAGATGCCGTAACCCCAAGAAACTCAGTGTTTTCACTCAAGTCACTGGGGTTAAACACTTTGCCAAGGGGTCAGACGCCAGGGGCTCCTCACCGAGCCCAAACCTCCAGCTTTTCGTTAATAAGTCGGGCTCCTTAACCACTCTGCCCCCTGCTGACACACCAGCTGCCCCGTTAACTCCTAATTTAATTGGTGCAAAACCGAAAACTACTGCGACAGGTCCAAATCCGATATGTTTTTCTAAAAAACAAAACCTCAGAAATAAGGCTATAAAAACCATTACAGGATATACGCACGCACCGCAGTACATCAAATCGCACAAGAGCGCATCCCCCTCTTTCGTATCGTTATGTGTCAGCTACCTAATCTGACTATAGAAACACACACAAAGTCAAAAGCCAAACGCCAGTGGCCGGAGAAAGTGGAAGGACGGGTCCTGGGGGGGTGGGGGGGGGGTGTCGTTGGGGGAAGGTGGATAGCAGCTGGCATTTGGTACCGTCACACCACGGGTGATAGCGGATGGGGTGACCGTCCAATCAGTTCTGCCCATACAAAAGGTCAGGCAATCTTATAAGATGTTTCGCCGCAGTCATGACAGCAGAGCATGGGGGCCACTGGGCCGGGGAGGGGGGGGGGATGGCGGTGGCGCGATTCTGTTCCTGGCACGATATTCACCGAGTGAACAGCCAGCCGTAAAAACTGCGGCAAAACAGGCACGAGGACCTGGTGTGCCGGCACACCCAGGTATGGCAGTCACTCCCGCGCACGCCCACTGGGAAGTGGGCCGGTCAACCATGAACCCACAATGCACCTGGGTCCTAGTCTGTCAAGCACTGTGGTGACGGAGGCAAAAGCGCCACGAAACGGCCAAACCGAACAAAAAAAATAACGCTTGTTTCTAACGATAACGCTAATATATTGTAGAAGAACTCAAATACAACTACTATTAGTTTAAGACTGACATTACCAAACGTCAACAGGATAAATCTTTGGTATATGTAGGCCTGCAAGGTGACCCATTTGCATATGCACACAACTCAATTTATTCTTAGAAATGTTTGGAAATCCTGATACCGACGTGCAGACGACAGGCAGCCCGTCTACAGCGCGATTCGCACTCCGACTTCTGGCACCTGATGTGTTTGATGTGCCGTTGGCGAAAACGGGCGCCAAGAGCTGCCGTCGTAACCGACTCGCAGCCGAATAACGCCAAGCGCGTAACTCCCGCTGCAGCCTGCGCTCAGAGACGTTAACAGTCAAAGGACGTTTCATTTTCGGCCCGCAAAACTGACCCCTCCAAAACAACAACAAATAAACAAAATTAGTACTTTCCAGTTACATTACAAAGTGCCACTAACAACACTGAATCAGTGTGCAATCAAATCCTTGATAATTTAATACAAATCTGCCTGTTCCTGCATAAACTTTTAATGCAGTTTCAAATTTTAAACGCTGCGTAATTACATAAGCTGTGGGGAAAATAATTTCATAGCAGGAGAATTTAAACTAATTATAGAGAATCATTCTGAAGGAGCAGAGTACATTTGCGTCTTATCTAATTTCCGTGAAGCCGTTGTTTTTAGCTCGAGTTATATCCTAATGCTGATGAAGTGATACCCTGTGGAGGGGGGTGGGTGGGGGGCTATATCGCTAAACAGTGGAAAGAAAGGGTAATGAACAAAAAGGGCTACCAAGTCTGACAAAAAACAGATTTCATCTGGACCCGAGTCGATCAGCCCTCTCCTGAGGTCAGCCGCTATCGCTCATAACGCACCGCAAAGCCCGAAATGCGCGGCTGGCCGAGATGGGTCATCGACGGGCCATGAAAACTAAGAACTGCGGGCCGCCATTAAGGCACTTCGCTAATCCAAGTTCTCCGGCTGCCCTCTTTAAAAGACACCTCAGTGAAACACAAGGAGGTGTCTCACCGTGAATGAGACGGAGAGGCGTCAGATGACCACAGAGAGATCAGGACCGGCTCTCTCAGGCCGGTCGCAGTCTGCTGGAGCGATTACAGCATAAATCAGGCCCAAGCAAACGGCGTCATTAACACACACCTTCATAGCGATTATCTAACCTTCACAATGACTAAACATTCACCCTAAAATCGAATCCAGTTTTGTAACTGCCTTGCCAAACCTTGCATACTATATGCTATACAAGTACAAATGTAATTCCTCTTCAACAGATAATGACTTATTGCCTCGCTGTATCAAACCGGCATTGAATCTGGACAGACCGGTCTCTAACAGGGACAATGAAACACTTCCTCGCTCTGTGACACGGCGGTTACGATCAAGTGACTCAAGCTGCCAGTCAGACACAATGAGGTGTGTAAACTAGTACATTGCAGTGACTGGACGTACCGTGGCGCAGACTCAATTTTAATGAAACTGAATGAGTGTCTAGGATAGAGCAGCAAAGACCGGCCAGGTATATCATAGGTGGTCAGGCTGGCATATAATGGGCCAATTTACTTGATTTTTTTTTTTTTAAATTATTATTATAATGGACAGAAAAGTCTGCTTGAGTTCCTAAGTCCCTAAAGCCACTGGGACACACTAGGAGATTATAAAGACAAGAAATGAAGACCCAATTCAGGTGAGGCCTTTAAACGGCACCAAGGAGAAGCCAGATTTAGGAACGCCCGTGCACAGGCTTTGTCTACACCCGCACGGGTCAAAATGGAGGCCGCCACCCCTGTGACGACGGCGGCGGCGGCACCGCGAGGGGGGCCAGCGTCAGTCACCCGCCCTCCTGAAGCGCCGCAGAAGCCGCGGGATTCGCCGGGGGGGGGGGGGGGGGGGGGCGGCGCTGGGGAGCAAAGGCCCCCTTCCATTTCGTCAAAAAACCAATAAAACAAACACGGAACATGGAAATAGAAAAATCGCCACAGGGGATAATGGGCGCACTGCACGCCGTCCACACACTGCATCAGAAAAAGCCACAAAAATAATAATTAAGAAAAAACAAAAAGCAAAATCTAAATTAAATGTGTGCAGGATTTGCACACTGAGGGACGACCAAAATCAGCTGATATTTTTGTTTGGGTGGATTGCTGAGGTACTGTAGCATAATTTAATATAAACAGCACTGCTATAGGTGTTTATCAAACCTTACACAATATTTTTGAATCTATAACCATGGAGACAGAAACTGATGTAACGAACAGTTTAAATTCTCAGAACTGATGTGAACATTATGGCTGCCGTGTAAAATGACAGTAGTCAGTAAAAACGAGCCGTTAACAGCCGGGCACAGGTGCCAGCCGCCCAGACAGCATCGCTGCCACTTCACAGCTCACCTGAGCAGTACAGCATCTTATCTTTCTTTCCCTCCGCCGTCATGCTGAGGACAGCCATCGCCAGGACGACCAGGGTCATCCGAGCCAGGCACGGAGCCATTTCAGCCGGCTGCGGATGAACAGGACACATTGTCACACAGGCACCCGCTTCGATATACAGACTGGATTCAAACACTCTTCACCTTAGCTGCCGTTTCAGCTATTTTCATCTTTACGACTTTTCATTTGGATCTTAGGATCTTGGAGCTGATTTTAAGCTGATTTTAAACAAATGCTCCTAAATTTCCTTCCAATTAATCAAGCATTCGACAGACCCTAAGTTTCAGGTATTTCCGTTTGCTTTCTCTGAACGGTCCAATAGCTTTGATAGATACAAATATTACGGACCCCTGGTGCTAGTTATAATAGCCATAATCAGATTTAAACCACTAGTTACTGTAAGAGAAACCAAGTTAGTATTCAACAAATAATTTAAATAATCTGGAGCTGAGACCGTGAATCAGTGAGATGGTTGGCAATTCCTGAAATGTAATGGGGGTGTTTTTAGCGTGAATGTTAAACTGGAAAAGGAGTCCAGACTGCACTCTTTACGTTTAGTGTGGAAAGAGTTGATTCTGCACTTTTCGCAAAATCCTCAGATCTTAAGCGAGGACAGTAGATACTAAATAAAATCATCACTGTTAATCTGGGCCGGACAATGTGAGACAGTGCTTTGAGATGCAAGCGTTACATCCCTCTAGTGACTTTTATAAAAGATACCAGAACATGAATAGATAAGCATATTGTGATAGACTTTAACACAAATGCATTTAAATAATTTTTTTTAATGTCTTTATTGTACACCAAGTGCACAGTTCAAAGTACAAATAAGGCCATTAAGGAATCTGTAATTAAATCATCTTAACATACAGGTAATCTGAAACATTTCATGCATCCATCCATGATATAACGACTGAAGTCCATATACTGCACATGCATAGAAGCTATGTACAAGTTAGGGACCCCAGTGAGGGGTGGACATTTTTCCCCACCCGCATAAAAATGAAATTTGGCCAGTATCAGTGGTGACAGGTAGACGACTGAGACGCAGGTCTTTCTCAGAGGCCTAAACTACATGCGAACATTATCGGTGGCGACTTACCTCTGAAAAATTATCTGAAAGAAAACGAGATGCTTGTGCATCATGAACATCGTCATATGAAGGCAACATTTTCAACACGTGTACCGGTATTTAACCTAAAGATATGTCGCTCATTTAATGGCGAACTAACCTTTGACATACACACAAAAAATGCAATACAAAAACATGACCTCCAATAAGCACCGAGTGTAATATGTATAATTAATATTTATTGTGTTGTATAATTAAGGGGAACTGTGTGTACACTATATTCAGAGCTTGTCTGGCACATACTGCATAAAACGATGCACTGTACACATAAAGTCTGGCATAATTAGTTGTCTAAAATATAAAATCAGTTATTTAATTGTCTCATTTGTATTTCAACCCGCTTGCTTAGTATCCGAAGGAAAGTCCTTACCACGGCGTCCAAATGCAAGACTTACCCCTAAATGTCCCTAAAGGACTGACGTCACAACCATTTCATTTATAGTTAAGTCCCATACAAACATGACCATTTCTTGGTAATTTAGTAAGCAGATTTCTGATAAAGTTCAATTGTCAAGCATTGTTTGTTGTTTTGGTAAGAAAGACCCAGATGTCCCGCTGGACCTCCGCGAAATCGCACCGCTTCCTGCTCTTTTACACCAACAGCGACATGAGGATCAGGTCCGTCAGGAACCCGAAAGACCGGCTGAAGACGGTGCAGAAGTCCGATCCCAGCAAAATGCATTTTAAAACCCAAGGCTTTCCTTAACCGTGAATATGGGCAGATATAAATGTCCCTATGTAAACATTATCAGGGACAGTTACCAGAACTTTCATTCAGTTATTTAACATTAGTATTGCGAAACTTGATAGCGACATTTCAACATACACGATGTTTTTCAAAGAAAAACTTACTAGGAGAAATGAGTGTTATCGCGGGTGAAAACAAAAACTTAAATTTTAGAAACAATCTACTTCAATCTTTGTGTATCAGTGAAGGGAACCGCGACTTGTTTATACGAAATTTTGATAAAAGCAGGCAAAAAAAAAAATAGTCCGCCTTTAGCTAAACAGGCTCATTTGCCTGTTTATTTAATTTAACCATATGGCAGCCCACATTTTATGTATTCATCTTGCTAGGTAAACAAAACGATGAGTCATCCCGTGAGAAATTATACACGAGAAGTGGATAGTAAATCCACCAGATACCTGTAGCTAAATCCTCTTTCTACCGTAAGAAAAGTTCCTTTACATTACCCGTATGTTAAGGCAGACACAAAATAGACTAAATGTTTAAAGTTAAAAATAAACGGCTAGGTGTCCCAGAAGTTCAGCTACCTTACCTGAGTATAAATGAAAACCTGTAAGGTGAGAAAGAATGTGGGAAACTTTTTCAGCGTAGGCAATAAATGGATTACGTTTAGATATTATGTATTTGCTCCGACAAACTACGCCCTGAGCTTGTATTCCAGTTTCAAAAAAGTGATGTGTCTTTTTCCGTTTGGGCTCTATTAATGCATTTAGAGGAAGAATGTAAATTTTGCATCAGATAAAGAGACACTGGTCACTTACGTGCTTGTCCGTGGCGCTGCCACGATCGACGAGGAGGAGGGCTCTGAGAAAGATGAACAGCCAGACAGCCAATAGAATTATAAATACGGAGCTTTTGTCCAATCACAAGCGAGGGAATAACTTTTTAACATCCGGATGTGCGGCGAGACGGATTAGATCGATTCATTGACTCACAAACGGAAACCGATTGTCCTCTTTCAAAGATTATGTTTAACTCTAAGTCTGTCTCAGTAATTGCGTTTTTGCATACTGATGCGCATTTGCGGGTGGTTAAATGAGGTTTTGACGTTTGGTAACTACATAAAACAGACATGTTTGAACACTTTACCACTATTAATATACTAATATAAACATTTTAGAAAGTTTAGCTGAAATATATTAAATGTTACGGTTTTTAGGTAGGCACAGTTCGGCCGATTCGTTTGTGTTCTGATGAGCCCACCTAGATGAAGAATTTGTTGGGACTGATCGTGTAGTTACTGTTTTTGCCAACAGGGGGATGGTGTCAGGCCGTATAGGAGGCATTTCTCTAGACAGCTCTGTCCTCTGTCTGGGTCTGCAGGCTTCCCAATGGCATGTTCAGGTTTTCATTAGGTAGGCCATATTTAGGCTGTTGACTGCAGTGACCCATTCCTGCTGAGCATCTAAATGGCAGAGATTGTGATCGGCGGGGTATCTCAGCATCCAAGCCTCCTGTTGTTTACAGGCAGTTTAATCAATGTTATTATTAGACTTTGTTCAACATAGAAATGCCTCTTTCTTGATGAGTGGAAAATGTTCTCGGTGTGCTGGTGTTTAACAGAAGACTGTGGTTCAATCGTAGCAGCATTGCTTAAATAATCACCAGCTTCACAGTGGATCTGGGGGTGAGAGGATCCCAAGAATGGCTTTGTTTTTGTATGGCAGAGCAAGATCTCTTAGCCTGAATTACCACAAAAATATATACAGTCATTTATAGTAGGAGTTTTTAATCTTTTAAGCTTAAGGTAGGGTTTTAATTCCAGTTGCCTCGCTTGGCTTGCATATTATGGTAAATGAAAAAATACTGGAAAACTTTAAACACCAAATGGAACCGAGCAGAGCAAGATGACGCGATTGTTATTGCCTCATTGTGGTTATTAAGGTTCACAAGTTTGAGTTTCCTATCATATTGAACAGACATATTGTCCAGGATTAGCCCTTATAACAGGGGTGGGCATGCAGTCTTATGAAGAATGGGCCACTGGGTATGTTGACTTCTGCTGCAACTCCATAATTAGGTTACTAATAGAGGACTGATTGGCTGAAGAGTCCTCACACCTGGGTTTGATCAGCTGACCTAAAGGTTTCCCCAAAAACTTGCACACACACCGGCCCTTTTGGATAAGATTGGTCATCCCTGCCTTATAATGTGTGTTGATGTGTGAATGTCTTGTAATTCACCCATGTAGCCTGCTTTTAAAACCCACTTCCTTATAAATTACATCACTGAGTATAAAAGAAAGGGTGATGGCACCCGGATATATACACTCACCTAAAGGATTATTAGGAACACCTGTTCAATTTCTCATTAATGCAATTATCTAATCAACCAATCACATGGCAGTTGCTTCAATGCATTTAGGGATGTAGTCCTGGTCAACTCCAAACTGAATGTCAGAATGGGAAAGAAAGGTGATTTAAGCAATTTTGAGCGTGGCATGGTTGTTGGT